AACGACAACGACAGCAAGAACAACACAACAACAGAGACAACAACAACAACAACAACAACAACAACAACAACAACAACAACAACAACAACAACAATCATTTTAAGACTGTTCACGCTTATCTGCTCGAGTCTCATTCAACGCATATTCCCCAAACCCTCGATACCCGCCCGCTTCGTCTTCGATCGTACCCCTTTGGGGGGATAGATCGTTCTTCCCTGCATGCCGAGTCCCGGCAAGCGGCGGGGCGGCCGCGGACCGTCGGCCTGGCCAGCGGCAGCGCTGATCGGCGGCAACCCGACCCCAAGAGGGACGGACAGGGGACCGACCACGACGAAGACGACGACGACGACGATGACGACGACCACGACGACGACGGCGGTGGCGGCGGCGGCGACGACGAGCGAAAGCAAGAGCGAGAGCGAGAGCGAGAGCGACAGCGGGGCCACGAAGGGCAGGAAGGGGGCCACGAAGGGCGACAGCTGGGCTACGAAGGGCATGCGTATGACGCCACGAAGGGCGCGAACGAGCGGGTGCCACGAAGGACAGATAATGCAGGGTCACAGAGGGCAACGACGAGGCCACTGAGGGTAGCAACGGAGCCACGTAGGACAGCAAGGGGGCCACAAAGGGCGACAGCGGGGCCACGAAGGGCATGCACATGGGGCCACGACGGGCGCGAACGAGCGGGGGCCACGAAGGGCATACGTAGATTGGGCCGCAGAGAGCAGCAACGGGGCCACTGAGGGCAGCAACGGGGCCACGAAGGGCAGCGAGGGGGCCACGAAGGGCGAAAACACGGCCACGAAGCGCATGCGGGGCCACGAAGGGCTGCGAGGGGGCCACGAGTGGCTGCAACGGGGCCACGAAGGGCAGCGAGGGGGCCACGAAGGGCTTCAACGGGGCCACGAAGGACAGCGAGGGGGCCACGAAGGACTGCAACGGGGCCACGAAGGGCAGCGAGGGGGCCACGAAGGGTTGCAACGGGTCCACGAAGGGCAAGGAGGGGGCCACGAAGGGCGGCACGAGTGGCTGCAACGGGGCCACGAAGGGCAGCGACGGGGCCATGACGGGCTTCAACGGGGCCACGAAGGGCAGCGAGGGAGCCACGAAGGGCTGCAACGGGGCCACGAAGGGCAGCGAGGGGGGCCACGAATGGCTGCAACGGGGCCGTGAAGGGCTGCAACGGGGCCACGAAGGGCAGCGAGGGGGCCACGAATGGCTGCAACGGGGCCGTGAAGGGCTGCAACGGGGCCACGAAGGGCAGCGAGGGGGCCACGAAGGGCTTCAACGGGGCCACGAAGGGCAGCGAAGGGGCCACGAAGGGCTGCAACGGGGCCACGAAGGACAGCGAGGGGGCCACGAAGGGTTGCAACGGGTCCACGAAGGGCAAGGAGGGGGCCACGAAGGGCGGCAACAGGGCCACGAAGGGCAGCGAGGTCACGATTCCTAAGTCAGCTGTGAGGGAGTCCTAAGCGTGAGCGCGCGACTCCTGGGTGCCTGAGTGTCGGGAGCGCGGCGCTTGAGCAAATTGCGGGGAATTCCAACGCAAGAGCACGATTCTTAAGTAAATTGCAAGCAAGTCTCCGGAGAGAGCGCGACTCCAGAGCGCCGAGAGAGCGATTCCTGCATAAAGTGTAAGGAAGTCCCCAGCGAGAGCGCGACTCCTGAGAACAATGGAAGGAGGTCTCAGGCGGGAGCGGGGGTCCTGGCTAAATTGTAAGAAAATCTCAAGCGGGAACCGTTGTTGCAACTCGGGGGCCAAAGCCGAGTGCCTTTCCCTGATAAAAAAAAACCGGGTGCGAGCCCCAGGTGAAGCACTACAATGGAAAAAAAAAAAAATGGTCACTGGAGGGGGATCAACAATAACTAATTTTCAGTAATTAGATTGCATCAACGACAACGACAACAACAATCATGTTCAGGCTCCTCGATCTCATCTGCTCGCGTGCCATTCAACACGTAAATCCCAAACCCTCGATACCCGCCCTCTTCGTCTTCGATCGTACCCCCCTTGGGGGTGTATCTTCCCTACCTGCCGCGCGTAGTTGGCGCAGCCCCTAACACAGGGGAAGGAAGGGAGGGGGGAAGAGACAAGGGGTACGTAGGGAGAAGGATGGAGCACGAGAGAGATTCGCAGGAGGAGGGATAGAGGCAGGAGCACAAGTGGCAGAACCAGACGGGTGGGCGGGGCAGGCGGGCCCTGACGGGCAGGTAGGGCGGGCGGGCCCAGGCGGCCAGGTCGAGCGGGCGGGTCGCTGAAGCGTCATTCCAATATGAATCGCAAGGAAGTTTCGAGCGATAGCTCGATTCACAAGTAGCTCATAAGGAAATCCAGAGCGAGAGCGTGATTCCTGAGTCTTCGGGGCACGGCGCCGCAGTAGATTGCAAGGAAGTTCCTTGCGAGAGCGCGATTTAGAAATTAAACTGTGGGCAAGTATCAGGCGGGAGCCGTTGGTGTTGCTGCTGCTGTTGCTGTTATTGCTGGTGTTGTTGGTGTTGGTGTTGGTGTTGTTGTTGTTAGTGTTGTTGTTGGTGGTGGTGTTGTTGGTGTTGTTGTCCCGGGGCCAACAACCCAATCTGAACAGTACTACTCCACCTGGTAAAAAACAGGTTGAGAGCCCGAGGCGGCGAACTGCGATCGAAAAACACAGGGTGCATCGCGGAGGGGAACAACAATAGCTGTTAGTTCGGGATGCTGGCTCAACAACAACAACCACCACCATCACCACAACAACAGCACCAGCATCATCACCATCACCATCATCACTACCATGACCACCACCATAACCTTCATCATCGTCACCCCCATGACCATAACCATCACCTTCCTAATCATCACTACCATCATCAGTATCATCACCTTAATACACATAATCATCACCCACCACCACCACCATCATCAGCAGCAGCATCATCATCGTCATCAGCATCGCCATCATCATCATCATCCATAGCATCATCATCACCAGCATTATGATCACTATCACCATCACCATCACCATTAGTATCATCATCATCATCAGCATCATCATCATCATCATCATCATCATCATCATCATGATCATCATCATCATCAGCATCATCCTCGTCGTCGTCATCATCATCATCATCAGCATCCTCATCAGCATCATCAGCATCATCAGCAGCATCCTCATCAGCATCATCATCATCATCATCATCATCATCATCATCATCATCATCATCATCACCATCACCATCGTCAGCCCTGCTCCTCCATCTCCCCCTTGCTGCTCCTCTCCTGCCTGGCACCCAGCGCGAGAGCCAAGACGTCCTTCAGGACCTCCCAGTCCCAGGTCGGCCAGACGGCCTTCGCCTCCGCGCGGGGCGCCACCGGGCAGGCGAGGGCCGCCGATCGACGACGCCGCCGCCGGGGGCACGGTGGCGGCATAAGTTTTGGGGGGTCCTCCCCCCTCCATCCCTCCCTTGCCTCCCTCTCGTCCTTCTTCCCCTTCCACATCCTCCCCACCACCTCCTCCCCTCCTTCTCCCTCTCTTGTCCTCCCCCCCCGTATCCCCATCTGCTTCTCACTCCCACCCTCTTCGTCGTCCTTCCCCCTCCCTCCTCCCCTCTGCTTCCCCCTCCCCCGCTTGCTTCCGCCTTCCCCCTTCCTCCTCCTATCCGTCCTGCTCCCCGTCCTCGCCATCGCCACTGTCATAGCAGTCGCTTTCGTCGTCGCCGCCAGCGCCGTCGCCGCGCCCTCCCCGCCGCTCTTGCTCGCCAACTCGCGGGCCCCATCTCTCGGCGCTGGCCATGACACCACACAAGAAGAACCGTGGGAGGCAGCGGAAAAAGCCACCGTGAGCTCGAAGAAGACCGTCGAAGACCGCCGACGGCGACGGCGACGGCGACGGCGGCGGAGCCCCCCCGAATCCCCGCCGCCTTCGCCCGCCACTCCTCGTTCAGCTCGCCAACGCTGGCGCGCAGCGACTCGCAGTGGTCAAAGCCGACCGCAGGCGGGCTGCAGCTGCCTCCGACGACGACGACGACGACGACGTCGACGGCGACGGCCACTACGACGGCGACGGCAACGGCAACGGCAACGGCGACGGCAGAGGCGGTGGCAGCGGCAGCGGCAGCGGCGGGAGCGACGACGGCGGCGGCGGTAGCGGTGACGCCGGCGGCGGCGGCGGCAACGGCGATGGCAACGGCCGCGGCGACGGCGACGACAACTGCGACGTCGGCAGCAACGTCGATGGCCGCGGCAGCGACGCTGACCAGAAGCGACGACGACGACGACAATGACGACGGCAACGATGACGTCGACGACGACGACGACGACGACGACGACGACGACGACGCCGACCACCAACGCCACTACAACGAGGGGGTAGGACGGTGGCGGCGGCGACGTTTGCGCGCGGACCGCCTGCGAACTCGGCGGCCAGGGAGGGCTCCAAGGTCTGGTCGCTCCCGATGTCCTCCTGGTCGGACGCCTGAAACGGGGACTTCGCCCGACAGCGGGCGCCAGCCCCCGACCGACAGCGCTCCCTGCTGGGCAGGTTCCCCTCGCCGCAGATGGACGACGCCTTCGGCGATACCGACAGCGAGTCCCTCAAAACGGACCGACAAACCGTCGGAGGGCCGGGAAGAGTTCGTGGGCCGGCCGCTGGGTCGCCCTCTCTGCACCCCCCTGGCGGGGCCCGAAGGCGCCCAGCCCCCGCGCGCTCCACGAAGCCCGCTCGGCCCCCCTGGAAGCTTGTGCGCTTGCCACGTCGTGCGCCTCGAGGCAGCAGGCCCAGCTCCAGAACGGGCAGGGGATGCCGTCGGCCTGTCGCCCCAGATGAGCAGTGAGGAGGCTGGGGCCTCGCGCGTGAGGAAAACAGCGACCTTGTGCGGTGGCATGCACGGGCCGCTTGAGCGGCAGGCTACGGCAAGGTCGTGTCGCGACGGCCCCGGCATTGGTTTCTGACACCCCTTGAACAATCGGCGGCGCTTCGGTCGCCAGATCCTTCCATACTGGCCGACTCTGGGCTACCAGCGGCGTTGAACCTTGGACTCCCGCGGTGGTTCGCAGCCGAGACGACAAGACGCGAACATACCGCAATCGACCCCCCCCCCTCGTACGTCGCTCACTTGTATCCGTCCGACTTGCGGCCCTCCCAACGGTCCTGGTCGGTAATCTCCGTGATCCACCTCGGGCGGCGCCGCACCCCCCCGAGAACCCCTGGTCCTCCTCCTCATCCTCCTCCTCCGCCTCCTCCTCCGCCTCCCCATCCTCCCTCCGCCTCCTCGTTTTCCTCCTCCTCCTCCTCCTCCTCCTCCTCCTCCTCCTCCTCCTCCTCCACCCGCTCTCCACCTCCCCACCTCCTCATCCGCTCTCCCGAGGACGAAAAAGACGGCGACAACGACGGCGACGACGACAATGACAACAACGACAATGACGACGACGGCGGCGGCGACGACGACGACGACAATGACGACGACAAAGACGACGACAAAGACGATCCCGCTGATCGGCGGCGGCGGCACGGTGGCAAGTCTCCGCCTGTGCGTGGCAGCGCTCCAGGCGTCCCACGTGCTATTGCGGTGGAAGAACACCGGGAAGTCCAGGCCTCGGCACGAGGCGCGGCGACGCGCTAATGCTGCCCATCCAGAGGGGGCGGTCGGGAAGGGCGAAGGGGACGCGAGAGGCGCGGAGGAAGATGAGGAGGAGGAGGAGAAGGAGACAGGAGGAGAAGGAGACAGGAGGAGGAAGAGGAAACAGGAGGACGAGGAGGGGGAGGGGAGCAGTCGGGATTTCCGCCGCCGAGGCTGCAAAAATCGAATCGGCGGAGGTCGGGGGGCTGCGCCGTGTTCGCTGGGAAGAGCCCAGTGTCTGCACGCGCGCCCCTCCTGGGCGCAGTAGGGGGCCCTGCGGCTGCGTGTGTTGGGGCTCTTGGGGCGTCCATGTGGAGCGCCCACTGTGCGCACGCGGGGGCGGCTCGAGGAGGAGGAGAACGGAGGAGGAAAGGCAGGACGGATGGGATCGGATTGCCCGTCCTCGGAAGTGCCCGTCACGCGAGCAGCTACCAGGGGGGGTGCGGCACTGATGAGCACCACGGCTCAGGAGGAGCATGAGGAGGAAAGAGAGGCAGTGGCGGCTTTCTGTAACGGCGGGCCACTGCCAGTCAAGCTTCCCAAGAGATTGCGCAGTCAAGCTTCCCAAGAGATTGCGCAGCAGGGGGACAATTTATTACAGATCAACGAAGCGAACGTTTTCTTATTCGGCGTTACGACATTGGGCGGAAGGGAAGTGAAAGGGGATGGTCTTGCTCAAGACCTCTGCTGAATGCGACTGTCTACAACAGTTCGTCCTATGGGGGAGACTCTACCTGCTTAAAACAGGCACAAGAAGCAACCAATATCTACTCCATGGGGGGGGAGGGGCATGGGGTGCGAGGGCCTGCGCCGATCGGCAAAACAATGAATAAGAAAGCTGTTGCTGAAGGGGCCCTGGGACACACAAATAAATAAACACAAACAACGGGTTTCCCCATATTTTCCTATGTTGTCTGGGTGCTCGTCTTCCCCCCCACTTCCCATAATTTCCTATATTTTCTGTAGAATCGACGATGAATTTCGTCTGTGTGTTTTTTGTCCCTCCTGAGTCACGAAAGCCTCGACGGTGACCCCCCCTAGTCGAAGCATGTCTCTTCAGGGGGGTCACCCTTGACGCAGCCTCCCCGAGGCATCACAACTAGAGGCAGACGGGGCTGCTGGGCCGCGCAGGGAGGGAGGAGGGAAGAAAGGAGGGAGGGAGAGAGAGGAGAAGGGGGAGGAGGAAGGAAGGAGGGGGAGGAGGGGGAGAAGGGGGAGGAGGGGGAGGAGGAGGAGGAGGAGGAGGAGGAGGAGGGAAAGGAGGACGAGGTTTTCGACCTTGCTCACCAATTGTGTGATAGCTATCTTTCGTTGGGATTCGGACGCTCTCTCGGGCGCGGTCAAGCCACCCCATTCTGTGACGACTCCTTCAGTGACGACCTCAACGCCACCGCCCCGCAAGATCTGGGCATGTGGCTGGAAGGTGGGTCTGGAGGGTGCGCAGACGGTGTCCGTTTACGAGCGCGCGACCAAAACGACGACGTCGACGACAACGGCGGCAACGTGGATGGCGGCGGCGGCGACGGCGACGGCGACGGTAGCAACGGTGACCGCGACGGCGGCGACGGCGACGACGACGACCGCGACAATCACAAGAACGACGGCCGCCACCTCGACGGCCAACACGAGGAAGGCGGAGACGACGACGACCACCACCACCACCAGCGCCACCACCCCGACGACCACCATGAAGACGAAGACGGCGTCGGCGTCGACGACGACGGCGGCCATGTGGACAGCAGCGGCGGCGGAGGCGACCACGGCGCCGTCGTCGGCGACGGCGGCGACAACAAGCCCCGTGGGGTGGAGGCCGCCCGCGGGGCCGGCCGGCGCGAGGCGCATGGGTCGGCCGAGAGGCCCCGGCCGACCGCGCTGGTGCCCGTGTCGGAGATCCGGGACAGCCTGCCAGGCGGCGGCCCGCTCGAGCGGAGGGCGCGGTCGCGTCCTCCTCCTCCTCCTCCTCCTCCTCCTCCTTCCTCCTCCTCCTCCTCCTCCTCCTCCTCCTCCTCCTCCTCTTACTCCTCTCCTGCTTCCTTCTCCTCCTCATTCTCCTCCTCCTCCTCGACTCCTTCATCCCCTCCTCCTCCTCCTCCTCCTCCTCCTCCTCCTCCTCGACGCCTTCATCCCCTGCCCTTCTGAATAACTCCTGCCTGTCGCACCCCGAGACGTGTCAGTAGGGTGGGCCGAGCGTTCCGCCTGAGAATTCCTGACCAACCAGCTTCGAACTTGCAACAATTTCACGCATGGGGGGCGGGCCGTTATCAAAATGTCGCCCTCGCTTTAATGCCGCGCTCACTCGTCTTAGAAAGTTGCAGGGGCTTCACGGATGGGGGGGACATTCGTTTTAATCACCGCCGCAAACGCTCGTCTCAAAAATTCGCGAGGGATTCACGGATGGGGGGCGCTCCTTTTCGAAATGCGGCTATCGCCTTAACGCCGCAAGGGCATCACGGATGCAGGGCGGCTCCTTTATAAATGTGGCTCTGGCGGGCGGGTCCGGAAGACGGGCCTAAGCGGCCAGGTCGAGAAGGCGTGTTGCTGAAGCGTGAGTACTGCGTGAGTCGCAAGTGAGTCCCGAGCGATAACGCGATTCACGAGTGCATCATGAGAAAGGCCAAAGCGAAAGTGTGATTCCTGAGTGTCGAAGGACCTTCGTCTGAATAAACCATGAGGAAATCCCACGCGAGAGTGCGATTCCTGCGTAAGGAAATCCAGCGCGAGAGCGCGATTTTGAATAAACTGTCAGGAAATATCATGCGGGAGCCGTTGTTGTTGTAACTCGGGGGCCAGGGGCCTACTTTGGTGCCTCCCCGCTTTCCTTTGTCAAAGAACAGAGCGTGCGAGCCCCAGGAGGCGCACTCGAATTCAAAAAATGCGCCAGAAGGGGAATCAACATAATTTAGAAGTGAGAACTCAACAACAACAACAACAACAACAACAACAACAACAACAACAACAACAACAACAACAACAATCATTTTACCCGAACGCTCAGTGTTCTCACCAGTGCCAGGGTTTTCATGCGACGCGAGACAATACCCCCACTTCGTGGGGGGGCAGTTCAAGCTCTACCAAATATCCAAACGACTCTTCGCGACCACCCAAACCCAGCTTCCCGCCCTATGACGTTGGGACACTTCACTTCGTGGCGTGCGGACGACCGTGGCTACTACACTGGCGTGGGGTACACACCCACAGAACTTGGTCACTTATTCGGGGCGCGCGTGTGCCCAGCATCCTGCAATTGTGACATACAATACATGACACAGACAGACAGAGAGAGAGACAGAGAGCAGACAGAGAGAGAGACAGAGAGAGCGGAGTTGGTCACATTTTTGGGGCAAGTTCCTGAGATCGTCGTGTTTTTTGTTGGTCTTGCGCGCGCGAATGTCCACTTTACTTTTTTTTGCAAGGGAGTATTGAAATTTGATTATGTTAGAACAAGAAAAAGTAGCTCGCGCGAGCTCATGTAACATAAATGTTGAAAAACCATTGGTTTTGTGGGAGTCGGACAGCGCGCGCGGGATGAAATTTGGACATTTTTTTTTGAAAAACCATTGGGTTTTTGATGTTTTTATGTTGAAATCGTTACGAAACCTAAGGTTCTGGAAGGATTTCGTCTTGCGCGCGCGAATGTCCACTTTACCTTATTTTTTGCAAGGGATTATTGAAATTTGATTATGTTAGAACAAGAAAAAGTAGCTCGCGCGAGCTCATGTAACATAAATGTTGAAAAACCATTGGTTTTGTGGGATTCGGACAGCGCGCGCGGAAGGACATTTTGACAATTTTTTCTTAAAAAACCATTGGGTTTTTGATGTTTTTATGTTAAAATCGTTACGAAACCTAAGGTTTTGGAAGGATTTCGTCTTGCGCGCACGAATGTCCACTTTACCTTATTTTTTGCAAGGGATTCTTGCAATTTGATCAAGTAAGAACAAGAATTTTCATTTTATAGTGTTTTTTGCAAGGGAAAACGGATTACAACAAAACAACCGGATCCGGTACCAATCCACTTTTCTGAAGCTTTCGCGAAAAAATGATGAAAATGTAGCTGCGGCCTAGGTTTTGGAGGGGGGTCGTGCACCAGGGGTCCCAACAATAATTATTCTTTAGAAGTAATAATGTTCAACAATCACTACCCGAACACTCAGTGTTCTCACCAGTGCCAGGGTTTTCATGCGACGCCAGCCAATACCCCCACTTTGTGGGGGGGCAGTGCAAGCTCTACCAAATATCCACACGACTCTTCGCCACCACCCACACCCAGCTTCCCGCCCTATGACGTTCGGACACTTCACTTCGTGGCCTGCGGACGACCGTGGCTACTACACTGGCGTGGAGTACACACCCACAGAAGTTGTTAAGCCTACGTTCGTACACCCACAGAAGTTGTTAAGCCTTGTGAACCCATACGGTGCGATTGTGTGATTTTATGATGCGCGGTGCTAAAATTCTTAAGAAGCCCAATGGTTTTTGGAGATTTCGGCGTGCGCGCGCAAAAAACGAATGTGTCCCGCATGGTATTATTTGACAGGGATGATGGCCCTGGCAGGTGCGCAACCGTTGTCGCAGAAGTTCGAAAAAGTTGCTCGCAAAAGCCCGTTTGACAGAAATGTTTAAAAAGTGTTGGGTTTCCTACGAATCCGCAAGAGCGCGCGGGATGAGATTTTGACATTTTTTTGTTGAAAAACCATTGGTTTTTTGATGTTTTTATGTTAAAATCGCTCCGAACACTAAGCTTTTGGAAGGATTTCGTCTTGCGCGCGCGAATGTCCACTTTACCTTATTTTTTGCAAGGGATTCTTGAAATTTGATTATATTAGAACAAGAAATGTCATTTTATAGTGTTTTTTGCAAGGGGAAACGGATTACAACAAAACAACCGGATCTTGATGACATATTACCTGAGGCTTCCTCACGAAAATGATGAAAATGTAGCTGCGGCCTAGGCGGCGCAGGGGGGCCGTGCACCAGGGGCCCCAACAATAATTATTCTTTAGAATTAATAATGTTCAACAACAACAACAACAACAACAACAACAACAACAACAACAACAAAAACAAAAACAACAATAGTAATAATGATAATTGTAAGACTGTTCGCACTTATATGTTCGAGTGTCCAAAAACGCGTATTTCCCAAACCCTCGATACCCGCCCTCTTCGTCTTCGATCGAGCCCCTTTTGGGGGCTATACCTTTCTTCCCTGCAGGCCGGGCCCCAGCAAGCGGCGGGGCGGCCGCGGACCGTCGGCGTGGCCAGCGGCAGCGCTGATCAGCGGGGCGGCCGCGGACCGTCGACCCGACCCCAAGAGGGACGGACAGGGGACCGACCACGACGACGACGACGACGACGACGACGACGACGACGACGTCGAAGACGACGACGACGACGACGACGACGTCGAAGACGACGGCGACGACGACGACGATGACGACGGCGACGACGAGCGAAAGCGAGAGCGAGAGAGAACGACAGCAGGGCCACGAAGGGCACGAAGTAGGCCACGAAGGGCGACAGCGGGGACACGAAGGGAATGCGTATGGGGCCACGAAGAGCGCGAACGAGCGGGGGCCACGAAGTGCAGATAATGCGGGGCCACAGAAGGCAACTATGGGGCCACTGAGGGTAGCAACTGGGCCACGTAGGACAGTGAGGGGACAGAAATGGCGACAGCGGGGCCACGAAGGGCATGCACATGCGGCTACAACAGGCGCGACTCTTGGGTGCCTGGGTGTCGGGAGCGCGGCGCTTGGGCAAAAATGCAAGAAACTCCAACGTAAGGCCCTTCTTCAGTAAGTTGCAAGCAAGTCTCCAGCGAGAGCGCGACTCCAGAGCGCCGGGAGAGCGATTCCTGTTGAAATCTACGGAAGTCCCAAGCGAGAGCGCGATTCCTGAATAAAATGCGAGGAAGTCTCGGGCGGGAGCGGGGATCCTGGCTAAATTGTAAGGAAATCTCAAGCGGGAGCCGTTGTTGTTGTAACCCGGGGGCCAGGGGCCCAGTTTGAGCATCAAGACTTTCCCTAACAAAAAACAAGGTGCGAGCGTCGAGGAGCACACTTTGATTGAGACAAAACAGTATGCACTGGTGGGGGGGATCAACAATGATTGTTCTTCAGAAAAGAAGATTCAACAACAACAACAACAACAACAACAATCACTTTACCCGAACGCTCAGTGTTCTCACCAGTGCCAGGGTTTTCATACGACGCCCGCCAATACCCCCACTTTGTGGGGGGGCCGGTTCAAGCTCTACCACATTTCCAAACGACTCTTCGCCACCACCCACACCCAGCTTCCCGCCCTATGACGTTCGGACACTTCACTTCGTGGCCTGCGGACGACCGTGGCTACTACACTGGCGCATGGGTACAGTGACTTGTTGTGGTAACATTTTCTGGACGCTAGCTTAGTATACGACTTTTCCCCCTGTTCCAACACTGGACACCTATACTGGTTTTTGGAAAAACCATTTGTTGTTTTAGGATTCGGACAGCGCGCGCGGGTGGAAATTTTGAAAAGTCGTGCAGGTGTTTTTCGAGGACCTACGGTGCGATTCGTGTGATTTTATGATGCGCGGTGCTAAAATTCTTAAGAACCCAATGGTTTTTGGAGATTTCGGCGTGCGCGCGCAAAAAACGAATGTGTCCCGCATGGTATTATTTGACAGGGATGATGGCCCTGGCAGGTGCGCAACCGTTGTCGCAGAAGTTCGAAAAAGTTGCTCGCAAAAGCCCGTTTGACAGAAATGTTTAAAAAGTGTTGGTTTTCCTACGAATCCGCAAGAGCGCGCGGAAGAACATTTTGACAATTTTTTCTTAAAAAACCATTGGGTTTTTGATGTTTTTATGTTAAAATCGCTACGAAACCTAAGGTTTTGGAAGGATTTCGTCTTGCGC